AGATTAACTTATGACATACACGATAAACACTGGATACCACACAATGGAATAAATAATCCCTCAAACTGGATATCAAGAAATAATGTTTTTCGATTGGAAATTACAACTCAAAAAAGTACAACTCACACGATATTTATCCGACAACACAATGATCTATCAAGGAATTAGATTACTTTCCAAAAATGATCAAGGTTATTGTGATCCTACAACACGGACACAAGCAACAATTGTTTGGTTTCCCGAAGATACATGCACAACATTTCAAGTAGCGAAAATACACGCTCAAATGATAAATTTTCACGAAAAATATTTTATACAATCAATTCCATATGAACAAGTAAATCCATCACGAAAACAAAGTACTGATCTTCGAAACATCCATAATATAGAAAATAAATTAACACGTTTTCAAATATATCAAGAAACAGAAATCGCATGCAAATACAGAAACCCACTTCACAAAACACAATATTTTGAAATATTAGTTGAATACGAGAAAGGTTTTGACATGACCACTGGAAAAAAAAAATTGAACCTTATGCCACAGGTCACCCTCTAAACGAAGGAACATCATATATACCAGTTAGTTTTCAAAAAAGCACAGGTCAACCTGGTGGAAAACTAAAGCCACATGACAGTAGAAGTACACGTTTACAAGAACTATCACTAATGAATAACACTTATTTTGGTAATATCCACTATGATATTCAAATAGATATGAAGTTAGACTACACAATTAGTCGAATTTTTCAAGAAATGTCACTCTCCGAATTAGAAACACTTCACCAACTATGCGAATTAGAACGGACACAAATCCTACAATCACTCGCACTAGCAGTATTAAAAATACCCTACGCAGGATACTTATTGTCAGGAAATAGATTAAATTTTCTTGACTACGAAAGAATTATTTTATGGTTTTATACTTGTACCAAAAAAGTATCACCACTATACGTTTTTGAAGATAAACGCTGTTATAAAAAGAATCCCTATATTCTAGAAAAACAAAGTACATTTTGTTGACACACTTTCAAGACGAACATATTTTTGGGATACCGCAGTCCCATGTGGATCAAAAAATAGCCACAATGTAGTACAGTTGAATCCTGATGAAGATAAATATTATCTCCTTACTCCATACCCTACGTTAATGCAATCACTCAAAAAATTTTCACCCGAAAGCATCAGAGCTATTACTCGTAATCCAAATATTGATTTACAATCAATTGGAATATATTCTAAATCAGATATCCAACACCACATTAGAACACAACAATTCCAAAAATTATTAACACAAGTGGACACTATACAAAGACAATCAATTGATCAAAATTTACAAAAACTTGCCGAAACCGCAGGATTTGCAGATATTTATACACAAGATTATAGCGGATATTTTAAAGACATTAAGGATTATATATATTTAAACGGTGAAAAATACAGACTACAAGATATTTCACCCATAAACATTTTTAGTTTTGTAACTTTAAAAAACGAAATACTCGCTTTTCTAGGATGGCCCCATTACATCTTAGAAAGATTGACTATCTTATACGCTATGTTTAATTTTATAGGATTTCTTTTCTCACTACTAAAAGGAATCTATAATACATGCGCTATACACACACAAGACAACCGTCAAGCAAGTGTAGCACGTATATTATTTGCAGGATTTTCGGAATATTCTCCTCATCCATTAATAAAATCGTAGCAGGTCACCCTCTATATAAAAGTGTAGCACGCATACTGTTTGCAGGATTTTTTGGAATTTTTTCATCATCAATAAACAAAATTCTTCTAGACGCACAAATAAAAGAATACAACACACCAACACGAAAGATTTTCTAGCAATCACCTTACCCTCATTTCCACAATATACATTAAATACACCTAACGGCACTAATGACACACGTAGTTTTGTAGATGAACATGTTTTAATGCCCACACTTCATTAGACGGCATATTATCATTTTACTAACCCCCTTTGCCTGCCACTATCTAGTACTCATGACGACATAGAAAAGAATAAAAATATGTTATATAGACTCACCGCAACACTAACACCTAGACAATTTACTTATGTAGGATATAAAAAACTACTAAAAACATTCACTGCACCCCAAGCTAACGAATTTACAATAGAATATTACGACCATAATATCATCCGAACAAATCAAGACCAATTTTTAGATGAAGATCGCTTCGCTAAACCGCAACTAACAGAAAAATTTTTCATCAAAACGTCATATGTTTTCACACTTAATGTTTTTGATAGAAAATATGATCACATCATTTCTGAAGCACTAAATGATAAACAAGCTTACGAAAGTTTCAAAGACAAATTTCAGTTATTTTCACTAACCTTTCACTTCCTTGCACCACATGAACGCAATTTGCACTGTTCACACGACATTATGTTACGCACTAAACAGACTCACACATATACATACTATCGCTTCATGCAAAATCATTTTGATTTGCATACTCCATCGAGACAACCACACCATCGTTTTCAATTTCTTAACTCAAAATACACATCACCATTTTTCCTTAATTTCACTTATTGCATCAAGGATACTAATCTCCACGGCATCCTCCGCAATTATGACCCAATAACACAAATGTATATATTTTGTCCCATCACGAAGACCTTTAACGCCGAAGAATCCAGACAATTCCTTATCCCGCATGAATTTATCCAGCCTATAGAAATACCAATATTAGAATTCATCCACAATACTAAATATAATCACAAAATATAAAACCTCATTCAAAACACACCTTACGAGTTTGCACCGAAGAACTAAAAACCATTGAAGCACTTCAATTGCTTTGGCCAGTGCTCCAAAGTAAAAACATCATTCGCATATTAGCCAAATTACTAACAATATCAGATATGATACGCGACATCTTCCCCCACGGCTTTTTCCCAGACGATTAACAGGTAAGTATAGTTTGAAATACTCTTCACTAATAAATTTAAATTAGTACTAACCATTCTTTATTCATGTTTCATTTACATTTCTAGTCTTCATACCACGATCATCTGCAAAAACAGAAAACAAAAAGAAAAATACAAACTTGTTAAAATTCTCCTAAAATTCATGAATATCTTGCACAAAATAATATAATTAAATTCATACCAAATGTAGTAAATTAAATTATAAATTATTTTACCATGAAGCAGTAAAATTAAATACGATGAATAATTATAACTTAAAAATTTCCCCCAAAAACGCAGTAAAATTGAAATTCTATGTAATAAATTGATAAAATGAAAATGCAGTACTAACCTTTTGATATTTTCAATCAATCGCACAGGAATTCTATCCAAACTCGCACAGCTCGCCCACAAAGAATTGTTTAAATAATGATTTTAAGTTTCAAGTTTTCACACTCAACAAGTCTAACACACAATAACAAGTTTCAAGCTTTCCTTTAACCCGGTTGGAAAGGAATTATATACTAAACCAAATTAACCAACGCAGCTTACTAAACACCACAAATCATAAAATAACAGCATGACTAAGAAAAGAAAACCAACGGTACCCAAACCGGATTAACCCAGTTTAAAACTGGATAATTTTTTCTTTTGAAGACTATTATAGAGTCTAAGAAAGAAATCATAAAACACAAAAAAGTCGCAAGACAAACCCATACCAAAAACAATTTGATTTTTGAAAAAAGGACACAACCAAAGTAACATAAGAAACACCAACATAAACCCAACATAAAACGTTATCACATAACAGGACCTCTCAAAGAAACAGCACGAAATCAAACTCCCACTCCTGGCCTAACCCACCAGAGAGGACGTCCTGAGCATGCTCTACAGCCGGCCTAACCCACCGCGCTACATCCACGCTTTGTGACCACACTTCTATTTTTAATAAGAGGTACTCAAGGGTGAGTAACTCTTCAAAATAACCGAACTAAAACAAAATGCTTCTGTGAAAACAACTAACTAAATTCATAATTAAAAAAACGAACTAACATAATTTTATAAAATGTAAATCATACCTTGCAGTATATAAATCAACACACAACAACAAAGACGAACATTTAAAGACAAAATGATCCCATCACACTCGAACAAAGAATGGCTAATCACAAGCGATATGCCGTCCACAATCACAACTCAAAGGATTTAGAGTGCGACTTGACTTCGCAGAAAAGGACTTCATTGAACTAGACCAATGACCACCTCGATGTTCAAGTATACGTGCGGATCCGAGTTACGAGGCATCCCTTCCACACACGATCTCCACGCCATTCCCAGGCGAGGTTGAACACAAAACAAGTTCTCTACATAATACAGAAAAACCCGTCATAGCAAATCATTTTGAAATCATACTGATTTTATTGGGGATCACAGTCGTTGTCACAAGACGACGCAACGATTGTATGTCCCTAACTCCAGCGTCCTGGAACTTCTTTAACAAGAGGAACCGGACAAGAATATGATGTTCGCCAAATACCAACGTTCATCATCCATCCTTTGAATATTAGAAAGATAATTCTAAAAAACTCTGTAAAACCCGGATGGGTGGAACCTGATCTAAACTACATTTTAAGATTGGATAAATTGGATATTTTACCAATGTAAAGTAATTAATATTAACCAATCATAATCCATCTAACTAACGACCCACTTATTTGTAAGTGCTGAAATTACTTGTAATTTCAGCACCAGAGAGATTTGAATTTAACTTAGAAATTAGTTGCCTCTCCAAGAGAACTTCAGCAGCCGGAAAAAACCAGTATACCCTACATCTATTGAGCCTAGCAGAGACTAGTTAAACACCCGGAGACTAGAAAGTATAAGAGTAAGATTAGGATCGGTATTAGACTAAGAAGTTGCACGAATCTATCCGGCGGAAAATAAGATAGCGTGACGAGCAGACGGTGTACCCTATCCGAAATTACTCTATGAGTTAACAACATCGGTCCTAACTCAAATTAAAGTGTATATAATTTGCTATAAAAAGCTGTGCTGTGACCTGAGTCCGAACACGACTGTCCCGTCCTTCATGATTCTGACCATCCTGTTCTTGACTGTGATGTCCTGTAAGTAACTGTCCTTGTCGTTCGTGAAGTAGGTGTCCGGCAGCCATAGTTTGTCCGTGATCCTCCCGTCCACTGGCATGACCTTGATGTCCTCTCCCAAGATGTGTTTGAAGGACAGTCGGTGGTCTTTCCAGTACTGTCGCAGGTAGATCGTCAACGTGAAGTCCTGCAAAATTAAATCAAACCACCATAAGCAAATATAAACCTTCTGAACTCTCAAACGATGATTAAGCACTGTTTCGGTCTTCTGGTTTTTGCCCCCTGATTTGGCCTGAAATTTCCCGGTGTGAGTCAGTGCCGGCCATACAATTACATAATTAGTCATCTTAACCATTCCTGGTGATAGTTGTATTCTCTGGTTCGGTGATAACTGAGATGTTCCTCAACATGATATCAGAGAAACTTATTTTCATCAAGAAAACAAAAAACAGGGTCATTAATGGCAGAGAAAATAATGAAAAACTGTATCTGGGCAATTTTAGCGTTTGCTTTTGGTCGGTTCGTAGGATCAAATATTCAAAAAAAAATTACTTCGCGCACGAAAAGTGAGCAATCTCATTGAAAAAAAAAGAATTTTTTTTCTAATATTTCAAGGGATTTTTTTTTGGTTCAGAAATTCTGCGTTAAATTCTTTTTATCATTTCTGGAAATTGTACACGATCTAATCCTAAGTAGTCGGTATTTAGGAATAACTTACCATGTTGACCTCTGATATTTCGTCTACACTGCCCACGACTAAGTCCACCTTCACCTCCACTGGTTTATTAGCTAAAAAAGATCGTCAACTATTATCACAAGAATCACAAGGCTCTATGCAAATAGCACAGGATATTCCTGAGTGTTCCGACTGCCTTTTAAGGTCTATGGAGCAGTAAGAGCATGAAAAAGTTAAATGTAATAAAACCAAATGAAAAAAAAAATCGAATCCCCCCACACGCCATATAAAGTACAAAGTAATAGATTTCACTCCTAATAGCATTTCAATCATTGCAAATCATTTTGGAATTATTTCCAAGACGGATTAAATTTCCGCTTACTCGTTAATAGTGCGAAATATGTCGCGCGTTATTTGTCCCAAATTGGCCAAAACCGCAATCTTTAAACTCCCATAACTTTACAAAAAATAATCACAGGTAAAAATATCTTTCAAATTCAAGCTCAGGACAAAAATACCTTTTGAATGAAATTTAAAAAAGCTCCGTCAACAAAAATTTAAAAAATTGAACAAAAAATAAAGATTTTTATTATAATAATTTCGTTTTGTTTTGGTGTGCTGAAGAATTTTCAAAACTGATTGCGCATATGTGCTCATTGCAACCCCCAATCATGATTATTGACATGATCTTCGCCCCAATCTTTGTGATCCCGAAGAGTTTTCCAGTCTCCATTTTCAAGGTGTTGCAGTTGCTGCTGACTTTCAGGTTGTCGGCCATACAATTGGGCAGGGGTTGAGGGCGGACGTTCTCCTCCTTCCTCAGGGATTCAACCCCCAGCCGACCCAAAGGGTCCCCCCTTTGGTATTATTTAAGAAATTCTTTTTTGGCTGACCGACTCTAAAATTTTTCTAAAGGGGTCTTAAGCTCCAATATAAACTAATTTTGAAGAAGAGCACGCGCCAAAAAAAGCAGCAGTGAGCACGAAAATGTCCAAAAACGCTTTGTTTGGCCTGTTTTTTTTTCAAAGTTTTGCCTGCGGTGCAGAAAATTTGGTCGAAACAGGGTCGTCTTTTTAGTGTTTTTGGAGAGCTAGGAAAATCAATTTTCTCAACCTGAATAATTTTTTCTTTTGAAAACCCGCTCTCACCTCGAGAAAACCCTAGATCCGCCCCTGGATAAATGTAACACTTCTTAAATCAAATATAATCACTAAAAAGGCGTTAATAGAATGCATTTATTCATCTCCCTCAAACTTTTTTTCTTGGTGCATGATTTTGCAAACAAGAAAAAGCCGAATATTAATTGGTTTGAACAAAAAGTGGCTAGCGGTGCAAATTGCATGCAACATTCCAAAAACATCGTTATTTTGAACTGCAACTAAAAATAAATAAACAAGCAGGTAGTACCAACGCCGCAACTATAAACTTCTATAAAAAATACAAATGTTCTACGACCTAATTGTAAGGTGTTTCAGATAAACTTAATCATAGTAAAGTTGACATTTTAACTGAGTATTTGAGCTATTGGATTTAAGTTGAGTATTTGAGTTATTAGAAGTTTGATTAATTGAGTTCAAAGAGAGTTGAAAAAACTCATATTTCTCAGAAATTTTGTTTGATTTAGCTTTTTGAAAACTGATCAATATCAGCTAGTAATCAATTAGTTGTCTTTCAACCACATTCTGTAATGTAAAAGCACCCAAATCAAAAAGTGTTTTTCCTGTCATCAACCATTTAAAAATCTACAGCAAGGATAGCCGGTTGCTGTATTTGTAGCACAGAATATTCCAAACATATTCTTTAAAAAACTACAAAATGCTGTGTAATATTTTTTCTTCAATTAAGTGTAGCTTTTGAGGGAAGTGCAAAAATGCATAGAAATTAAGCGAATTAAATAAAATCGGCAACATGTGTCTTCAAAGAATAAATGATAAACAAAAAACGAAAAAAACTTAATTGTAATTGTTTTTTTTTTTCAATTAGAATTTTGGCACGATCATTTTTCATTTAAAAAAAAAATATTGCCAAGAAAGCGTTACATAATTTTTCAAAAAAAATTCTTTGCATAAAATCAAGTTTTTGTAGCTTGAAAGCCAGAATAAAAACTGAATTTTTCTGTAATGAACGTTACTCAATCGTTTACTCGCGCGAAATTGAATTATAACTCAAAAAAATTTAACCAGTTTTCCTCTAAACTCAAACAACCTTTAATTTTTTTTCTAATTTTGGTTCAATTTACGACAGAAAGCGCTTTAATTTGAATTATCATTTGACCCATTCCGATGATTAATCGTGATGTCTGATTTTGCGTGAACAAAAAAAAATAAAACACACACGAAAACAAAGTACCTCCTGATTTCAGTGTTTGGAACAAAATTATGTTTGCCAATGGCTTACAGAACATTGCCTTTCTTTTTCAATTCTCGCTGTTTTTCTAAGCGACTTTATAAGCTTAGGAGCTCATTTTTTTTTAAATTACATCAAAATTTCTCATCTCAAGATGGCAAGGAAAAATTTTTGCAATCACATTTTACCTTGCGACCTTAAAATAACACTTGAACGAATATTTTCATTTTTTTCTTTCTTTTTTCAATACTTCCGATTGATTTTATTGCTAAAAAAAGGCGACAAATTAGGTTACAAAATAGGAGCTTGAGAGGCGATTAATAGAATTTCATTTACAGGTCAGCCCCTAAATTTAAATTCTTATCAACCGAAAAACTCTTTGCTCTCTTCAAGAATCGTCAGATTTAAAAGAAACGTAAGGATTCAAGTGTAACTTGAAATTCAAGTCCACTCACTTTCACTTGGTTTCACTAATCATTCCAAAAAGTATTGAGAAAATGCCGCAACCAAAGTTTTTTCGAAGTTGTCCAAAAAGTTTAATAATTTACTTGTTCTTATTGTTCAATTTTCATTTGTATTATGTATAATTTGAACAATTTTGCACAGCAACTACTTGTCCATGGGCATTTGAAGTTCAATTGTACTTGCGAGTCCAAGTGTCTTAGAACCCAGGGTATTATACTTATTTTTGCTGTTTTATCTGCCAAATTTTTTTGCGGCTTCACTTGGCATCTTCATAGCACAAATAACCTACTAGAGCATAGGTCACCTGAAAATAATTGATTTGAAAATTTTAAGTTTATATAAAAAAAGATTGCAAAGATGACTCTATTTCATTCATTTCGTCACTAATTTTTCCAAGCTTGTTCCTTCACGCACAAAAAAAACAAATCATGATGCTTTTAAAATACTTTGATAAAAGTTTTTTTATTTGGTCAGAAACTTTTTTTTGTTGTTATCCAGACATAATTTGGTATCTAATACAAATAATTGAAAAACTTCAATGAAATTTTTTAAACGAGCGATTTTCTTCTTTCAAAACAACTTTGCAGACAAAAATTAACAAAGCACAAAGCGTGTCGTATCAAGATGAAGCTTTGAATATTTTGATTGCGCTTTACTGTCTATGGAATAGTTTTGGGGATTGATATAAACTTCACATGGAAAATATAAACAAAACTGAAATTATTCTCGAGAGTTTTTAGTGTCATCACCCTTGCGATGCTCAAGTACAACCTGCATATTACATAAGCCGCTGCTTATGCAGGGGATCGTTTTTGCTTTATTGGAGGTACATGCATTTTCTGGGAACAGTGATTTTTTTCTTCCCAAAAAGTTACGGCTTATTTTCAGCTTATTGGATGTCGGCCTTAAAAAGTATTACCACAAACTTAGACTCAACTTACCGAACTTTCTTCTAAAAAAAAAGATCAGACTTTTTCGAATTCAAAAAAGTTTTCATCAATTTTGATTTGCTCAAAAGTTTAGATTAGGAATTTTGACTTTTTCGTCTAATTTGAAGCGAGAAAAGCAAGCTAGCAGGCATATTTATGCAGTGAAAATTACAATAGCTTATTTATTTTTAACTTAAGTCAAAAAAATTTAGTTTTAGTTAGTATCTGGAGTTTTAGTGACACTTTGAGGAACAAAAACGTCAAAAAAATTCTATCAAAAAATTTGAAAAACTTTGGAATTTTTTTAATATATTTTGTTTTGTTTTTTACTGTCTTTTTTATCTTTAAGAACTGTTGTCCGATTTATTTTTTTTTACTATGACCGCAGATCAAGCATAAACTCTTGTTTTTTGTTCAGTTATTTTTATCACACCACGCAGAAAAAACGACACTTATTATTAGAAAAAAAAACAACTAACCCACTATTCTTGTTAAGTTTTTCGAATTTCAAAAAAAACTTTGTATCTTTTCAAGTTTTATTAGGCCGCTTTGCTTGGTTTAACAGGCATCTAACAGATTTTTCCTGCACAATTACCGATCATCATATGCTGTTTTCATGATAGCAATCGTGTTTTGCGATTGGTTTTTGTTGATTGAGTTTTTTGAGACGTATGAAAATTTTGGGTGGTTTCTTGCAATTATCAATTGTTTTTTGACTGGTTACTTTCGACTACCTCGTAATTCTCTTTTGTATAGCAACACAAGTGATGCGAAGCCCTGCTTTTCCTCTGTTTTTGAAACTTTCACCCCCCAACACGCTATATAAAGAACAAAGACGTGCAATCTTTTTTCAAATAGCCTGCCTCAATTCAACCTGAAATAGCTTGTGATCCAGATTTTTTGCCGCTTACGCTATCTAGAACGAGCCAAACTGGCTATTTTAGGTTTAATTTACAGGACTTTAAATTTAATTTGATATTAAAGCCCGTTCAGTCGTAATTGTAGATTAGGTTATTATGATTATCTAATTCGAAGCACAATTTGAAATCATCGCTCACAAAAAAAAACGAAAAAATCTCAAAAGTGCTAACTATATAATTTTTATCAGTTTTGGTTAATTTTTGCATTGACTATCGTGGTCAGAGCGTTCTGTGCCACTTATTCAGCGACTGGTTACCATAAAGTTATTAATGATTTATTTGTGTATAATAAAGAGTTTGTTCGTACGGTTTCCGAAGTTGGGTCTTAGTCTGGGGTCGTATCCTTCCAGTATCATCTGGGTAAGGTTCCAGGGGATGGGAGTCCTCTGAATCACATTGCGTCTGGCCTTCACAGTTTCCACAGCATCGCACAAGACAAGACTGAAAACATTTGAACAGTTTTGTAAATTAAATTTTCAATTGACTAAAAACATGGATTTGCATGTTTTCAGATTTTTTTTCACTTAATTTAAAACAGTGATTTGCAATTTGTTTATGAATATCCTTTTTGGGCGCCAGCATGCAAACAAGCTTCTGAGAGTAGCAGATCAAAAAATGTTCTAGCCATAGTTTCACCTGTTCGCCTCTAGTTTCCGAAAACTTTTTTCCCGTCGTTGATCTTTTATGTGACCGACTTGAGCACAGCTGGCCAGGACGGAAAACTCCAATTTCTCGATTGAAAAACAGAAAAGCGTTTCAATAATTCTGCTCAAAGAACTTGGATACGCGCTAAAGGTGGCAAGCGACTGTGAAATAACTAAATCTTCGACTCTATTTTGAAAGGTCGGAGGATCGAGGCCGCTTCTTGATTTGGGCTAGAAAATTTTACCCAGCACTAAAATTTTACAAAAAATGCATGATTTTTAACCAGGGGCACAACAACGTTTTTCCCAAAGCTTGTGTGTGGGCGATTTCCCTGGTGGAAAAAAACGTAATTTTAGAAAATTATACGGAATAACGGAGTAGTTCACACAACACAAACCCTTAAGCAAAAGCTTAAGCAAAATTTAATGAACCTCGTTTTACAAAGTTCATAGTCCAAATCGGGCTTTTTTGTACCAACCGCTAAGAATGGGTAGAGTTTTTCTCTTCGGGTGTGTTTAACCTGTTTTTGTTCCGACCAAAAAAACCGCTTTAAAAAAATTGAATTTTTTCCGTTTTTTCATTATTATGATTTTTTTTCCAATATTCACTCTAATTTCCTTGAATAAAGGGCAGACCTTAAGTAGGAGCGCAATGCGCCTTCCGTCTATCCATTCCAATTTCTTGTACTGATTTGAATGGTTCGATATCAATTGTTTGTAACTAGTTGGAAATAAATTGATGATTGTTGTTTGTTACATTATTTTTTGAGAAACAAATTCTTCTTCTTCTTCTTCCATTGAAAAGGGAGAAGAGCTTTTTCTTCGGATGTGTTTACAAGTTTTTTTTCTTTTTGTTTGTTTCTCACTCAAAATCACGTATCACAAAAAATAATCGGAATGTATCGAGTAATATACCATCGTAATGGCCTTTCAATGATCTAAAAAAAGTTTGTCATCGTAACGTATTATTGCAAAGTTTCTTCAGTCGTGAGAAAGTTTTCTCAGTTTCGAGAAAAACTAATTTGAAATTTTTGTTTTTTGGTTTTTATCCTGTGAAAACTTAGTTTTACTCCTGTCAAAATTGTGTTGGAAGTCATTTTAATGCTGTTTTGGAAATACCATTATTCAAATAAAAAATTGACTTTCATCGGTCAGTTGTTTAGTTGGGCGTCGAAAAATCTACAAAACTGTTCAAATTAGTTAATCAGATGAGCTCGACATTTTCAAAAGAATCTAATTGTTCATTTGTTCATTAGTCCCATCCCCAATCGTGAAAATTTTGGTCAAATTATTGTTTCAGAAACCAAGAACTGTTTTCAGGAACTTAAAATTCTAGTTCCTCCTAATTGTTTCATATTTTGTGGCTTTATGTATAATTACTGAAAATTAAGAGTATGTCGAAAGATGTCTATGCTAAAAGTGACATCACATCCGCTTTTTAAGACCAAAGTTACATTCCAAAGTAAATATAGGCTTCACAAATTAATAATTTTTTACCTTCTCACTGAAGTGTAAACCAGAATCAGCAACCGAAGATTCAAACAACTCATTGTAAAAAAAAATGTAATTCCAAATTAAACTATATTCATCATTTGGGTAAATTGAGAAATAATAAACGGATATTGAGCTATTATTGAAAAAAAGTAACTGATCGAATAAATTAATCAAATTTTATAAGTAATTTCAAAACTGGCAGAGAATTTGAGAATTCACCACCAAGGGATAGATCAATTGGGAAAATAATGCTGGTAGTTTAGAGACCAGTTCAAGTTAGTTTTCTGTTTTTTTTTTGAGTAACTTAAATATCGTAGCTAAAAACACACTTGTAATGAAATTTAGTTAAAATTGCAATTTCAAAGGAAACAAAAAGAAGTCGATATGATGAATTTGAAGACAGCTTTAAAAAATGAAAACAAAAAGTGACATTTTCAGTGTAAATCAATCATTGCGACTTATTAAGTTTTTTTTTTGTTTTTTTATGCTTCACAAGTGCAGATACCTGTATATAGTATTTTAAACAAAATATTCCTCTCATTCATTCAATAATTCAGAATTAGATTTAGTAAATTGAGCAAAAAATCACGTCTCAGTTTTTGGATGTCGTTACAATAATTGCAACGACGGGTGTTTTTAGCAGAAAAAAAATAGCGGTTCAGTTTTTTATCCCCCATTTAGATAGACCATGGGGACAAATGGGTATGATTGTGATGGAAAAAAAAACACGATCTCGGCAAGCAAAGGCGAGCGATGTACTGGAATATTTCATTATTACTTTTTTTATTAACCAACCAGAGAATTCCGTCCGCACTTAACCCAGAGAAGGGATCTTGATTGGTCACAACGGGGCAAGGGCTCATTTAGCCGACAGAAAAAAACTGAAAATTATTATCGATTATTGCTGGCATAATCTTCAATCAATTAAATAATCACTCGTAAATTGCAATCTTTTTGACTTTTTAGTTTTTAAATATAACTTTCTATTTAAGATAATTTTTTTAATTTTTTTTTTACTTTTCGGTTGATTGAAACGCAGTTGACCACGATGAGTTAATTAAATAACGGGTTATTATATTACTATTCCCGCTCGCTATAAGTTTCCGTAAGTTAACGCGAGGAACGGTTGAGATGTTGCTTATGGGTAGGTGCGATGGGGGGGGGGGCATATTATGTAAAGGATATTCGACTGCAACATTACGCTTGAGTCTAGCAGGAGATAAAATAATTCAAAAGTTAATCGAGGAAAAATTATTTTGCTCCGATTTATATTTTAGTTCCGACTATTTTGCATGAGTGCTCTACAATTTTTGCGCCATTTTTTGCCTTTTTTTAAACAAATAAACGTAGTCAACAATTGATATAACTTTAGTTAACAATTTGAAAAATATTCTGTTCAGCTACATTTAACTTGTTCCGGAGTTTTGGCAAAAAAGGGTATGAAATTTAGAAATTTCTGTAGTTTTGCAAAGGAACAATTTGCACTGAAATTCAACTAATTCCGCAGGTTGTTTTCTGATACCTCAATTCTCAATTTCTTAATTCGCTATTTGGACAGGTTATAAATTAATAATGAGGTTCGAATAGAAAATAATTAAAAACCCGGGACTCCCAAAATTGGATAGAATTGCCTATGGAAAAAAAAGCACCTCGTTCTCCTAGAACGTATAGACTGGTATGCACTGAAAAATATCATTGACTACTAAATAAAATATCTTTCTTGTAATACTGTTTTACTAAAAGATATAGCCCATAAAAACTGACCCAACGTAAGAAAACCTTTAAGCCTCCTGATCAAAAAAATACCAGAGCTTTTTTTTCTTAATTAATAATTTATAAATATGATTTCACGCGGCGGCACACGCAAAACCTCCTTATTACGTAACAAGTTTATAGAAATTGCATAATGGTTGATGGCGAAATGATCGAATAGGAAGTCAAAGGGTGTTTCAGAGCCTGATTACAAAACTGTCGATGGAATTTTTCTTCTCTATGGAATGATAAAAGTCGATTCCTCTTAAGTCTACTTGTGCTTTTACTCTCCCTAATTACCCTTAACTCCTTCCTGTGCCCTGATTGCTCTTTAAACCCTCCTCGGGCCGTTTTACCTGTTGAGATCCCAGAAGATGAACAAATTGCCTCCCCGCGGGTATCGACACATATTTACAGAAAATGAATAAAGCTGAAAACAGTTTCTTGATTGACCAAATACACCGGTAAAAAATAATCTGAGTTATAATTAGTGTAACCACTAGATAATTAGCTCCGCCCATTTATCTAACAAATCTTTTCAAGCAAACAAGCGTAGATTTTTTCATTTTTTTTTTCAAATTCCCAAAATAAAAAATAGAAAACGGAGGAAGAGCATTGAGCAGAATGGTTCAACAGCCGAATGCTTCCAGAGCAGAAATCTAAAGCGAAACTATCAGAATGAGAACTATTATAGTGAATGCACTAGCGTTTTTAGTTCTGCTTGTAGACGCGTTCTGCTCTTGGACCATTCGTCTCTTGGAATTTTTGTCTCTTCGGCCTCCAAAAATCGGTCAAACGATGACTTCAAATTTGAAGTTGATTAAGTATCGCTGCCATACACGCAAAAGACTTTTTGTCCATTTGAAAAGTAAAAAAAATATGAAGCAGGAGAGGAGAGCGTGAAATCTCATTATTAGGAGGGGTTAATAGTGCATGAAACTTGAATACAATGGCCAAATTAGCCCCAGATCCCTTGACACCAAATTTCCCTGCTTCTCGGCCCCTCTGAGCCCAAAATTACCCACCCGTAGGCCTGGAGGCCAAATTACCCAATCTTGCCAAAATCAGACGATTGAGCGACTTCATTATGCATTCCAATTTTAATTTAATCACTGCGAAACCCTCCTTTTGACTTGATGCTAATAAATGCAAATTGCTTTTGACTTCACATTTCCATTCCAATTTTCACCCCCATCGAAGTTTTGGAAGCTGACCAAATTACATACCCAAATTTAACCAGTCACTTTCGGGTTTTCTTACAAGATCTCAAAAATGACGAAAAGATTTTTATGCTTTAATCTGCAGTTCGCCATTATCGCAAGTTTACTGTGAGTTAAGTTTTCATTCAATTTCAAAGTTTTTGACTGGAAATCGTGAAAAATTTTCAAAGTATTTGCTTATTTTAGATTCTGCCAAGTGAGCTCAAAGTCCAAAATGTACCCACAAGTAGACAAAGTGACGATGTCGCTGAACAGAGTGATGGAAGAAGGCATGCAGAAAGTGCAAAATAGCCGAAAAGAAGATCCCGAAAGAGAGAAAAGGTCTGCAGAATTGGATGAAACTGACGACCAAGAGGCGGAAAACATCAAATCCAATTTGAAGACCAAATTAGTCACTTCACTTTTGGATTCGATTCTGGATAACTACGATATGTATATCAGACCCGGTTTTGGCGGTGAGTTTTTAAAATGTCGATTTAAGTTTTTTTTGGAGAAATTCTAGCTGAAAGTTATGTTTTTCTATATGTTTAGAATCCCCGCTGCCTGTGCAATCCAACATGGTCATTTTGAGCATGGGACCTTTCTCTGACTTTGAAGCGGTAATACATAATATCTTTTCTATTAGTCTTGTAAAAAAAATAAGCGATTATGAGTTAGGATGGAAGCGCTACTCTTTCTGACATGTGTTTAAGAGCAATAGGAGTTCGAGGCCCAGCATAATCAGTCTTCGAGACTAATTGTCGTTTTAATTTTCTGACCGCGAGCGTGCTAATTCATTTTGCTTCTTCAGGAGTTTACGTTCCAGTGTTTCTTCCGGCACTTCTGGACTGACAAGCGACTGGCCTTCCAGAACCACTCCTTGTTCGAGACATACAAGACAGACCCGAATGAAGTGTCCGAACTCATCCTAAACAGCATCATGTTGGAAAAGGTATGAAAAACCAACAGTTTTGTAGAGTGTTCAAGCTCCTTCTTGCTTCGAAAATTTCGAGTAGTGGCAAGAACAAATTGTGTAGCCTTTAACGTCTACCGTGATATTAGTTGTTCACCAAAAAGTTCGTGTGGCGTCGATTGTATTATTATATTTAAGCACTGTATGTAGAGATTTGGCTTGAAAAAAATGAAAAAATTTTCATTGGCGAGAGTTCGAAACAGTTTGAGCTGTCCAGAAACATAATAGTAGCTAAATCAAACACACAAAGAAAAAATTATTCACTTTTTTCAGCAAAAGATTAGTCACATTTCTAGGTATGGAAGCCAGACACTTTCTTCCGAGGCAACGGACTCAACTCACACATCCATGACATCACCAGACCCAACCAGCTATTCAGACTGAGAAACAACGGATACATCATATTCAGCACCAGGTCAGTTACATGTGAAGGAACTCGGATGGAGATTATGATGTACCTTTGTAAACCGAAAGAAATTTCCTTACAATAATTATGTATTATCAAGGGATATGCTTTACTGTTTATTTAAAATTCCTCAAAACTAGATCAATCTTAGTCGCCAAACGATGGCAGATCAATTACGCAGATCATCTACCCAATATACAAGACTCTAAAACATTTTTAAAATCAGTTCAAATTTTACAGTCATTGGGTGATCTTATTTCCCGCACTAACAAACTTGAGATTGAAAACAATTTAAATCGATTTTGATTTAGATAATATACTCGGTAAAAATCAATTTAAATTAGCCCATGTAGATATGTAAATCGATTTAAATAGGACTTAAACGGATTGTACCACAAAAAAATTGATTTTATTGCCTAGAAATTCAATTTATATCGATTTCAATGGATTTTGGCAAGGAAGAGAAATGCAACAAAATCTCAAACAAATTTGATTTAATTTAACTATTCCTTTTATATTGAAACCAGAGCAAATTTTGTGCTCACGAAAGATCTCTATCAGCGCTTTAGAGAGCAAGAGTCAGTTGAGAAGAGCTTTTACCGCAAACCATTGAATTCATAGCCCTTTTGCTTCAAATGTAATTTCTTCAAATGTTATTTTTATTATCAACGTTCTAGACGCAATTGACATAAAATTGAAATCTCATTTTAAAATAATCATTTTTGGTGCAGAAAAGTTACATATTACTTTTGTTCGTAATTCGTTTTCAGGTAAAATTTAAAAGGAAAAATCAATTGAAAAAATACAATATCAAGTTTTTTGATGACCAAGTTTTTTTGGTCATAATTACCACCAAAAACAATTTGAAAAATATGTCTTTGCATCGAGTAAAAATGGTAATGAGTTTTTCCTTTTTTAGATTAGTTCTTCTTGCTGGTAATTCCAGAATGAACTTTAAGACTGACTTTCAAATCCTGTAGTTTTTCAAAAATTTGGAAAGTATTTTGAAATTTCTTGCCTCATTATTCAATTCAGTTTTCTTTTACTGACTAAAAAAACAACAAAATTACGAAAGCATCAAATTTAATGCTCAAGGAAATAAAAAGTTCTACTTTTTTCTAGTTTTCTTCAGTTTGATGTCAATCCAATTTGAAAAAAGTGCAGTTTTGAATATAATTGTTGCTTTTTTAGATTTCTACTTGATCAATTGACAAATCAATCAATTTCAAACCAAAGCCGGATCTCATTTATTTTCAAAAATAGTTTTTCAAAAGACAAAAAGAGTTTAAGGGTAAGAGATCAGAAAATTGAGATTTTCCTATCTTTTTTCCATTGGATTTTGCAGTGGGCCTTTTTAGACTGACTGTGAGTGCCAAGTGTCCGATGGATTTCTCCAGATACCCAATGGACTCCCAGAGCTGTCTGGTCGAATTCGGGAGCTGTGAGTAGCCATGTTCGGTTGTTTTTCTTACTATAGTCCCTTATACAAAAAAACTGGCGTGGTGGTGCTATAAATTGAAGCCACGTCTCGCTTCGAACTAATTGATGATGATGATGTAATAATTGGTTATGATGATGATGATAATGTAATGTAGTCGGCTACCACGAGGAGGAGATGCAGTACACGTGGACAGACCAGCAGACCCCCATCACAATCCTGGGAGAGAGCAAGATGTCCCAGTTCAACTTCCTCGGCTTCCAGGAGATCAGCAGGCGCGCCTCGTTCGCATCAGGTATGTCCGCCACACCGGTAAAATCATTGACAAAAACGCCAGTACTTCTCAATTCCGTTACTCCTGGGCCGAGGTTGCGTTTTTATGGCCAGACGGTTGCGACCAATTTTGGGTTTTTACAGACGGTTCCCCTCCAAAATCGGGTATTTTCAGACCGTTGGGGCCGAAATTGGGTATTTTCAGGCCGCCGCGACCAAAACTTACTATTATGAATATTGACGAAAGTTGAACCTTAATCATTGTGATATGAAGTCCTCAAAAACCAAAAAATTTTGCCTTAATTCGAGTGAACAGAAAAAATAACATCATCATTCATTTCCGCACTAAATTGAACCAAAATTAACTTAACATTCACCTCGCCTAAAATGTTTTAGGTTGAAGAATGCTAACTTCACCCGAAATGAGTTTCGCCGAGCTCATAAGCAATTTTCAAACTATCAGTTGTGCATTATTTTTTAAACAAGTTGAGGTGTTTATCAATTTAGGAAACTACTCAATCCTGGCTGTGAACTTCCAGTTCAAGCGCAACATCGGCTACTTCGTCATGCAGACATACATGCCCTGCATGATGATTGTTGTGTTGTCCTGGGTCGCATTCTGGATCAACAGAGAAGCAGCACCCGCCCGCATCTCACTGGGTAATTAGCAGTTAGTAACTGGTTAATTGGGTAATTAGTAAAAAAAAAACGTCCGTCAAATTACCAGTATTGTTATCTGTGTACTCCTGGAATCATTTTTTTACAGCCTAATCCGTTAAGCAGACTATCTTGATTTTTTATTCGATCAGAGAGTTTTCTCAAAAAGCACTGTTTTTTTTCGAACAGTGAATTATTTAAAATCATAAAAGTTTTCCATTGCCTTTTTTATATCTAAACTCCAAAGATGCCCGAAAATTTAAAAACTCACTGCAAAGAAAATAAAAAAAACTGTTTGATTAACAACGATTCATCAGAGACCTCAAAACGTATTAAAAGGTCACATGACGAGCTCACAGACTACAGTTTTGATGCTTTTAAATGCTATTAAACCAAGAATTATTATTAAAATTGTAATAATAGCTACAATGTCATTAAATCTGAAAACGAATTTTTATTATCAGGAGCTGGCCGATCTAGGATTGTCTCGAGGGGGGGGGGGATATTTTCCTCCGTCAAAATTATTATATATAATAAATATTGGCCCCGAAGGCGCCTTTAGAAAATTTTTAGGGTCCGTCACCAAATATGGATATCTCAAAATAGTACAAAGGGGGGACCCTTTGGGTCGGCAGGGGTCGAATCCCTAAGAGGACGGGCGTCCCCCCCTAAGTCCGCCCCTGATTATTATTTTAATTTTAATTCTCAGGTATTACAACTGTGCTGACGATGACGACCTTCGCAATCAGCAGTCGACAGCAGATCCCCAAAGTGTCCTACCCCTCTGCGATGGACTGGTTCGTCCTCATGTGCTACCTGTTCGTGTTCCTCGCTCTAGTGGAGTACGCAGCTGTCAACTACTTCACCAAGAGGGGGGAGGCTGGGAAGAAGCCGCCTCCCAAGAAACAGCCAGCGGCCAAGGTGAATTAACTCTCATTTCTGGTGCTACTTGTTTCTGTCCGTTTTTTGCATAAAATTTCAACATCTTAGATCACAAATAAATTTGGTTCGCGAACCATCTACCAACCCGTTATAAAATTCGGTCTTTGGCCAGTTCACTTACTGCTTACCCTTTCTTAAATTGCCGCTTTTTTACCACTGGTCTGGATTTGGTTTTGAACTTATAGAAACGACTGAAATCTCTGCTTGTTTATTCGACCATAAGAAAAAATGTCTGGGGTGGATCTAGGATTTTCTAAATGCGTGTGAGGCCGTTTTCCCCTGAATCGACCAAACTGATTTTTGAAACTTTTTGACCCAAAAATTTTAGTTTCGATCGGAAAAAATGGACGTATAATAGTACTACAGGTAAGACTAAAAGGAGGTGATTGATTCCGTGAATATATATGAACTTTGGTATTTTGGCGTTGAATTTTGCCAACCAGCTTTCAAAAATTGTTTCCTAGAATTTTTTTTGCGTTGAATTTTGCCAACCAGCTTTCAAAAATTGTTTCCAAAGAACAATTTTTTTTCAGACATCAACTGACGCTGCGAAAGACAATACTGACGAGAAATCCGCTGGCAGTTCGGACGAGCCTCCATTCGCTTCGATGAACTCTCTGGTGGTTAAACTGCTAGTCTGCATCACTGGATCGAGACAGTACCGCAAGTGGAAGATAGAACACATCACCACCCAGGTGATCGGTGATCGGTTACAATACGTGGCTTCTAAAAAAAGAGTCAAACTTCTTTTTTTTTCTATTTTGTAAAAGGGTTTTAATTTCGGCTTGTTCATTTTTTTTTCAACGTAGTTGTATAATGGTTCTTTTTTCTGAGCTGTTAATTTTTTTTTCAGCTGGTATTAAACTTTTATTTCAACTTGCGTTATACTTTTTCTGAAGTCGCATATAGAAAGATTCGCACAAAAAAAACTACTAATCTGCAGTTTTTAAAAAAATTTGAAAAAATGATTTAAAAAAATAAAACAGCTCAAAAAACCATTTTGAAAAATCAAAATTAACTGACAGATATTGAAGTTACTTTTTTGTATTACTGTACCCCAGAGTACCCCAGATACATATGAAATTGGATTTTTAAAATATACACTAACAACACAATCATTAATTTTACGTGTATACCTTTACCATTTGAGCCAATATATGCATATATTCTTGTACCACTTATTGTAACACTTCACCTCTCCTATCTCCAGTACAACAGTGTGAGTCAGATAGACGAAATCTGTCGGGTGGGGTTCCCTCTGGGCTTCTGCATCTTCAACGCCATGTACTGGTCCATCTACATGGGGGCGGATGACGCTCTCATGGACCGAATGCAACCTGTGCTCGGAAACTATGTCTAGTTTAACTACGACGACACTATGACCCTATGAAGATACTATGAACCTATGAACCTACAGAAACTATAAAGATAAAAAGATACTAGCGCGGTGTCTTAATATTACTTGGCTCTTTTCCCACCTCCCCATCCTACCTGCGAATTTGTATAATTTTTTTCTTTAAAGTGTCAGATTGGTACAAAAATTGTCATGCAGACTAATTAGGCCATGACAAACTCATTTGGTCTATCTTCAAACTTAACCTTGAAAAATTGCTTCATTGTTTCATAAATTCATAATTATGTGAGGAGGGAGAGGGTGGGAGTTCGAAAGAGCCCACTACGCATAAGGTTAACTGTTTCTTGTGTGCTAATACATTTACTTTTTGAGTATTTTTCCAATCCAGCTCTGATTTGAAATACTTGATTTAATAACTCGAGCATAAAAAATAGCTAAACAGCGAAAAAACATATGTAAAGAGATCATACTCTTCAACATATTTTTATGTATGAGACATCTAATTCAATTGAGCAACTAATATCTTAGTTCAGTCTCTTGATGAAAGGCTTTTGTTAAGCCCACTTTTTTAAGTCTAATGATGAAAAGGCCTTTGTTAAGCCCACTACAAAAAAGAGGGTCTTTTTGTTGTTCCTATTTAGTGAGTGTCTATTGCACCCATCAAAGTCTTTTTAATCCTTCTAGACCCTTGATCACCCAAACTTACCTTACTACTAGACGCTCTAGACTAGAGGATCCCGTTTAAAAAACTAGGATTATCCTTGGATATTTCAGCCCTGTTTTGTGAATGAAAATCTCGTTGAAGCCCCAATTTCAAATTTAAATGTCACCAATTGGGACTTTCATGACTCCCGGAGCTAAAGTTATTCAAGAATCTCAAGTTAAGAAAGAAAAATTTATTTCCCAAAATTTTCAAAAGGCGTAGAAACAAAGAGCAATCTCAATTTTGCAAGCTGGAACTGCTTATGACTTCAACAAAACGGCTGGCAGACTATAAATAAATCCATGTTCAATACATGGGGTGATATTATAAGTTACCAAATTTTTTTGGGCCTTTGAAGGCTCCCTTTGAATTTTTGTAAGCATTAGAACAATTTTTGGGATAATCAATGTAAGGTTGGTAAAGGTTTTAAGAAAAATCGCAAAGTTTTCTGAGCTGTTTGGGTTAGATTACATTTCAAACGAAACGTTGTCAATCAGTCAGCTTCCCGAAAGCGATCTACCTCAGAACCCAGTCGAGACTGAAATACCAGCGCTCAGATGTTAAAAAAGCAGAAAATTTTTCGATAAATAAAAAATTCAATGATTTCAAACCGGAGAGTTAGTTACAACCATGCAATCAAGATTACGTAATTCTGTTTTTCTTTGGGCTTTTTCTGTTTTTTTTGTGGGTCTTCGAAAGGAAGTTTTAAACTGTTTGCTCCGTTTTTACGGTTTTTACTACTTTTTTCTTTATTGATTGTAGTTTTAATATTGGATGCATTACACCATTGTCGGGCATATCAAACTAAAGTTTTCTGCTCTTCTTCGAAAAGTGCTTTTAAAGGAGGTGCTACAATCGAAGCCAATCTAAAACTGGTCCAGCGACATCATTCAATGTGAAAGAAACCGTTTTGAAGCCACTACCAAAATTTATTCCATTCATGCTTAGTTTGATTTAGCAACCCCATAAAAATTTCCTCGGACAAAATTCATGAAAATTATATAATCGGACCAAATCCTTTGAAATCCCTTGAGTAAAAATCTACAATTGCAACTAGAGTAATTGAAAAGGCAGACAGGAAGTCAAGAAAAGAACAAAAAAGCCCACAGGAGCTCAGAAAAAGAAAAAATGAAAAGAATTGAGACCTACCTATTCTTGAACGGTCTTGGATATCCAAACCGCTGTCCAACTGGTTGTACCCGGCGAGCTAGCCGAGAAAACTTTCATTGAGGGAACCAAGGCCGTCACTAAAAACTTCACTTTTCAGTAACCTTGCAGCATCATTTGCATCAACAGCTGCTTTCTTTATTAGAGGAAACACCTATTCCAAATTTAAAATGAAAGCTGCATCAAATTTTGCCCAGTTTCTGCTACAATTGCAACCATTCAGATTTAGTTTGATTCAACAGCCCCATAGAAAAAACATTGGAGGACCTAAAGTTCGCAATCATCTAAAACTGGTTTTGTTGGGGGTTGATTTTTCAAAAAAAACTAGACTTGATTCATCCTGTACTGATCAATTTTCATTTACAGCCAGCTCAAGAGCCAAAAGTTACTATAAACTAAGAGCTGAACTTGAAAATCAAGGCATAATTATCAAAGTCGCTATAATATATGCCTCCATTTTGGGTCTGATGAATTTGTGTAAGATTTAATGACAAGTGGTGTCAACGTCAAATCGGGTCTTTAAAATCAATTTCTTCTTTCGTTAAAAGATAAAAACATTTGATAACAATTGATGATTAAGTTAAAGGTTTACGCAAAACTTTTAAATACTTTTCAGCATTTTTTCATGATCTCTTTGAACTCCGTTAACGGTACTCAAACTTCCCGATGCGCGCAAATGTTTGAATTACGTTTTCAGATTCTTATCTGTTGGCAAAGCGTTTTCCTTGCTAGTAGTTATCTGAAAAAGTATCAGATAATTTTTTCCAGTTTCCAGCGGGTAAGAGATGATTTCTTTTTATTCTATGAGATCAATGAGAATTCAGAAAATTTTGTTATTAATTGATAATCCACACCAGTTTAAATAGATTTTTTCAAATGCAACCAGAGTAAACTTTCCAATTAAAATCTTGAATTTTTAAAATTATTTTATCATTAACACCAGTTGAATTCAACTTCTACAATTGTCACTAAGGTAATTTTTCTGGTTTCATATGGGTAAGGGATAATGTGTCCTTGTTCTATGAGTAGTTAAAAAAGTAATCGTCCCGGCATATAGGGCTTCCCACATTTTTTGATGGTTTCGAAAAAATCTCTTCACGGCGCGTGGAAAAATATGTTCAGACATGATCAAAAACGTTTAACCGAGAGTTAAACTTTTGTAATCTTGCCGCGAAACAACGGTTTTTAATAGGATAATTTTCCATGCAACTATTAATTTCATAATCAAGCCGCAAAACGATGGTTTTTATTGGTTGAAAATCAATGCAGCTAGATACGTCATCGCGTGTCATTGTGCGATTTCATTTAAAAAACTAACCTGATTGGAAAAAACTGTGATTTTCTATAAACTCATTTTCCTACAGTAGTGTAATCTGATCAGTTGGTAAAATTGAAACTAAGTTTATGCAAAGGCTATAAAACTTGATAACACAATTAAAACTGCTTCGATATACCACGGATTTATATATCTCTTCCGATCAAGAAAAGCAAAGCGCCTCAGAAAAAGCTAAGCCGTTTAATCGAACACTGAAAAAAAATAATATATAGAAGATAACCTTCAAGATCAGATCCGTCTTAGTACATTTTGCAACATATAGGTTTTTCAAAGGTTCAAAACCAAAGCAGGTAAAATGACCAGCATTTGAGAAATAACCGGAAGCTGAATCAAAGGAAGATAGGGCAAAAAAGCAAAGAAAAAATACAAATTGATAATTTTTCAAGAAGTTTGAATGAGAAAAAAATTACCGCTACCTACTGCCTAACCCAACAGATGGTAGTCTTAACAACTATTCGAAGAAGTTAGCATGTTTGCTATACCCATCAACGATCATTCTCTGAACTAACTTGCTTATGGAGAAAAAATTCGTTTTAACGGTTTTAACATTTTGGTGGTCGCAAAGTGAAAGAAAGCTTACTAAAATTATTTCACGTTCTGTTTTCAGCTAAATTTCAAAAAGTGAAACAAAAAGTTTAACGTTTTTTCAAATTTCGAGCATCCAAGAAGAAAAAATACCTAGATCTAAATGAATATTTTATAGTGAGATCTGCATTAATAAAGTTTTTTCAATAGAAAAAAAAGAGTTCAATTTTTTTTAGAGATCTAATCCATTTTAAAAGATAAGTTTAGGAAAGCTATTCTCATCGTTTGCAATTCCGTAATTTGGCAGCGTAGTTTACCTTCCTCTTACATATTTTTTAAAACAGAAATAACAAAAAATCACTAGTAAAATTAAGCTTTAAGTATTTTCAGCAGACAGCCAACAGTCATTTAAAACAGAGTCAAAGAACCTAATGAAACAAAAAAATGAAATGAAATATATGGATTCATTTTTTTCTGATTTAAGATCAACTTATGACTTTGACTTTGGTGACTTTATATCTAATATTTTTTCAATATTTCCTCATACTTGAATTAAACAGAAGCAACGGAATTTGAAAAAAAAAATCAAACGAATAAGAAGTAAAAAAAGAAATGAAAATGAAAAAAAAAAAGGATTTGGAACGACTTTTTACACGAACTAAATCTCTGCTTACAAATTTATAGCGCATAATATTTTGCCCCATTAGTTGCCACAAGTTGGCCTAATCTTTAAACCCTCTATAACTTTACAAAACTGTAATCCGTAAACGTAAAAAAGATCCAAAATTTTTTACCCAAGGGTGGATCAAACTAAATTTTAGTCAGGCAAAAATTTCAGCCAAAATTACCGATTGGAATACTGACAGACTGTATCAAGAACGTGAGCCCCTCACGCAGCACAGAAAAGTTAGGAGGATATAAACTCCAAGTGTTTTTAAGCAATAACTGTTTGAATATAATTAACTATACGCAATAGTCGCACAAAATACATCAATCATTTTTACCGTAAACTGGCGAAATAAGCTATCTTCCAAGAGAACCAAAACTTTTTGGCTGATATTTAGGAAATTTCCGTCAAAAAATTGCTAGTTAAAGTCGACATTTGTATAGAGAAAAGAAACCTTCACGAGAACAGGTTAAATATCTTCTGTGACTTTAGCTCAAGTCAACGAAATTTTTTGAATGTTACATAAAATTTCCGTCAAACTTTGCTAGTAAAAAAACTATAGCTAGTGAAAAGCAATTTTTGTCATATAAAACCACATGAGCACAAATATCAATATTCTGTCACTTTCTTCGGAAGTCGAAATGAGAACCATAATTTATGTAAAATACCAAAACATCAAGAATAGAAATTTGAATCGAACGAAAATAATAACGATCTTTCTGTTTTACTCAAAACAACTTG